CTTGTCAGTGATAATTCCGGAAAGAAGAGCATTGGAATCGGTGAGCAAAACGGCGTCGATGCGTCGAGCGGCCATGCGTCTTCAGGCATCGGAGACGGTGGTTCCGTCAGGGATGGTGAGGGCCTTGGACAAACGGAGATTCCTAACGGTCCTTTCTCCGCCATCATCCGGAGCGGTGACTCCGTTACGCGCGGGGAGGGAGAGGGACTTTTTGTGAGGTCGTTTGGGCTTCCTGGAAGACTGGTTAGGGGTGCTCATTGTGTGTGGTGGTGTTTGCATGAATCAGATTTGGCGCTTATTTATTTTTTTGTGTTTTTATGAAGCTTTATCAATCTTTATCACGACACATAGGTTAGGGTTCTGCGGGCCCTCTCTCTTCCCTCACCTGCACATTATCATAATTTTTATTTCCTTTCTTTTCTTTTTTCCCACCACTCACACCTTCCTACTCTTTTCCGCCTTTTACAAACCAATCATCATCGATTCTGAATGCTGTGGCCCCTTTTATTTTAATCCAAATATTCTTTTTATTTTATACAATTTTAATCTTCTCATCCTCACCATTGCAACTTCTTAAATACCAACCTTTTAAAACAAAATATAAACTGCATGCTCTTCGAAATTCCATGGAGACATTTCACACAAAAACTTCTCTTGCCTCCAAGGAAGGGACAGCCAAACATATATTTATGCATGCAGGATGAAATTTTAGGACCATGAAATATTAGTTACGTGCATTCATTTCTAAATTATCTATATATATTGTGCACCGTATTAAAATCTATTCTGTTTTAAATTATATTGGTTCAAAACTGTGTTATAAAGCCAGTTATTAAATTACAATAAAATTATTATTGTATTTTCATCCCATGTCGATGAAAACTCAATAAAGAATAAGATCAACGTTGGTTCAAATTTTCATTAAAGACAATTATCTCTATTATTGAAAGATACTATAGAATAAGTATTTATTTTTTATTTTATTTAAAAGTTTACCCCACACAAACTTATATTCTCTATCTTTCTGTACGTTTAAAGAATATTTTCGCCATTTTAGTGTTTTTAGATTAAATTCTCCATTTTTGTTACGACATATTTTTTTTTATCAATTATAGTGAAGTTTTTAGTAAAAGAATTAATTTATATCAAGAGTTTTTCTAGTGGTTTTTTTAAAGAAGTAGTGCCCATGTAAGGTTTGACTATGAAAGTTTATTTGGATTGAGAAAGTGTTTGCTAATAGAGATGATTGAATTAAGGTAACAAGAGTTAATAGTTTATTTGAATATATTGGTTGTTTTTATATGGGAACAATTGCTTTCTGCACTCATCAATTTCTTCTTGTACCTCATCATTTATTTTAATTTAATTCTTTGTATTTTATGTGAAGCTTTTCCTTTGTTGAGACGCACGCCTGTGCAGCTTACATGTGTTGTGGGCAGCTAAGATGCATTGTGTGTGGGGTTTCCGGTGAAGTGTTGCCGAGCTGGTGGTGAGTTCTTGTGTGGGAGGTAAGTAATTGGTCTTTTACCCTTTATTAATTGGTGTAGAAAGTAAAGAATGCATGTAAAATATTGTAATATGAAATATGATATGGGGGTAACGTGAAAGTGAAGAAGAAAAGATTTAAGATAGATTTATATTTAAAAATCAGTTGGGATATTTGAATAGGAGATATGATTGGATGGTTATTAGGATTAGGAATGGATTTATAAAGGTAGTGGAAGAAAGAATAAGGGAAAAAGGAGAGTTTGTATGAAAACCCTAGAACCCTAGATGAAAGGAGAGAAAAGAGAGGGAGATAGGAAATAAGGACATTTTATGGGATAGAAGAAAAGGAGCTGCAAAAAACCTTAGTTCAAAGGAAGATTTGTGGCGTTTTGGATTGTAGATAAAATCCTAGTATTGGCCAAGGTATGAGAAAACTTACCTTTGTTTGTTTTCTTGTTGTTCGTATGATGAATAGGGTTTGTCTTGATTATCTTGAAAGATAATGTTGTTTTAATGCATGTGTATGTGTGAGAAATGTTCTGCATGACGATAGGGTGTATATCATGTTTGTGTTTGGTTTTCTTTATGAAAATATGTATCTTCTTGTTAGGTTATCCCATAATAGGTATTGATGCTAAGGGAACAAAGTTATGATGCTTGGAGGTTTTACCATGCAAATATATGTTATAAAGATGGTATGATAATCAAATGTAGAATATTGGGTTTATTTGAGTTATAATCTACGTAATAATGAGTTTTGGATGATTCAAGTGATGTAATGTATGTATTAAGGTATGTTCATAAGGCTGTATGAGGTCTGAATACATGCATGTTGTATTGGGTATGTTTGCTCGTGGTCTAAGGTTGATGTATGTGTGTTTTAAACACTTGAATTCTATCCAGGATGTGGTTTGATTCAACAATAATCGATTATCACTAGTTATAATCAATTATGTGCGCATTGGTTTTGAGTTTTGTTTAAGGAATAATCGATTATCTGGATGATAATCGATTATCCTTTCATGTGTGATGAATCTGGAAATTTACATGTTAGGGCCACTGGAATAATCGATTATCTTAAGTTATTAACGATTATCATAGTATATTTTGTGTAATTGTGAACTTCTTGGGAATAATCGATGATTACTTATGATGATTGATTATCCTAGTGCACCTTTGTTAAAAATGACGAATTTGATGAAGAATAGACGTGGACCAAGCTTGAGGAGCTGTAGAATGTGGTGATAATCAGAGAATGAGATTAGTGGTTATATTTAGGGTCAATTTTGACTTGTGTTTGAGGTTGAAGCATAAGTGTGTGTTGGAGTGTACTTGAGTATGTGGTTGATAAGCATAAGATTGGGGGATAAGTCTACTTGTTGTACCTAGTAAATCTTGAGTTTATTTGCAGATAAGTGTTTCCTTTTGCCTTGTGTGCAAAGGAAAAATTGTTTAGGTATTAAACTTTCCTTGTATGGGGGTGATGATGTTTCCCTTGTCCTTGTGTGGCAAGAATACATGTTTCTTAGCTGGATTGCAGGACTACTCGAGCATATCTGTAGCGAAGGCTACAGATGGTCTGTAGGAGCAGCTACAAGAAGGTGAGGTAGGGTACAAAAGTGAGACTGATTCTTTCCACTATGATGTTTATGGTTTTGTGGAGGCTCATGATGGGGTTAATCATGATGGTGGTACATGTGTTTATGATTATAATGATGATGATGTTTTAGAGGATACTATGTTGATAGTGATGTATCTTGTGGTGTAGTTAGCATAGGTGTTGTTGAGAGGATAAATAGTTAGTCTATGTTTATGATGTTCGTGATGACATCGAGAACCGAGGATCGGAGATAGAGTAATTTAAGATGATTGAATTGTTTGTATTATTGGATTAAAAATTCTATTATTATTACTTCTATGTATGGGGTGTTTGATTATTATTGATATAATGAATATGTATGTATCAAGTTTTTTTATGGTTGTTTTACTGATAGCTTACCCCATACGTGTTTGTATTTATGTGTTTGTGAATGAAAATTTTAGCAAAGATCATATAATGTGTTATACGTGACCAGATGATATTGCATAGAGACATTATAGATTCATGAGATGACGGAGAAAAGATTTGAATTTTCTTTAAAGTTCTTTTAATAAGACTTTTGATAGAATGTAATTTTGAGTTATTTTTATTTTTTTGTCATTTTAATTAATTTTGAAAGGTGTAACTAGACAGTGAAACTAATATGATTTGATTTAGTTACAAATGTTTAATTATTGAAATTTTTGAAAAACATATTTTACGCTATAAGCAAGTTTAAAATTATCGATTTTTTTTTTTGTAAGAATTCGTAACCCCCGAAATTTAAGGCGTTATACCCCACCTTTGAAAATTAAATTTACTCTTGAATAATTTGGGAACCCCAAACTATAAACCAAATATAGCAGTAGATTTTCGCATAAAACAATCTAAAATTGAGTTTAACTCCTTTCATGGAAAAAAAGGCGTTCCTTCATGCACTTTCATATGTAGACACATACTTCCCCCACTCTTGCATGATCCTTTCCCCTTCTCTTCTTCATGTATCGTGCACCACATATGCACACACACCTAGAAATCCTCCCCCTTCCCTTTTAACTTTTTTTCTTATTAAACATATATTTCTCTTAAATATTTGTCAAAAAGATACTTTTTTTATTTTGCAATTCAAAATTTGTATTTTAGACCACATAATCTAAAATTATTTTTTATTTGCTCCTAAATATGATTTTTTTATTCTAGATCTATATTCTAAAATGTTTCAAATTTACATTCCGAAACTTAGAAAAAAAAAATTAAAACCTTGGATATGCATGAAGAAGGCCCGTCTAAGTGACAAATATAGAGCCTCGTGTTGACACTTCTCAGCAGTGACATTACACAGCATAAGATCTTAGGTAAAGGGTATACTTTTTTTTTCAAAATTATTAAAATGATATAACTTTTAAAAAATTACAAAAATAGATAAATTATATTCGTTGTGAAAAAATCGTGTCACATTGATACAACTTTGGATCATTAAAAGTAAAATTATGTTAGCATGACATGATTTTAATGTATTTTTAACAGCAAATACATAACAAGTTGATATAACTTCAATTTATATCACAATACATCACACAAAGTTATATAAGATTAACGCCACTTCAATTCATATAATACTATACACTGAAATCGTGTAAAACTAACATGACTTCAAAACTATATATTGTCGTCCCAAACATACGACTTCATTTAAAATTTAAAAAGAAAACTCCAAGAGAATGAAGTTATATCAAATTGATATGATCTCTTCACAATGAAATCGTACCAAATTAACACAATTGATCCATTTTTGTAATCTTTTTGTAATTTTGAAAAAAAAATGGTCCATTTGGATGTTTTTGTCTAATATCCTATCCTTTCAATAATTTTCAGTAAAATAATAATTTTAACTATAAAATATAAATTTAGAAAAAAAAAATTATCGCTTAGATCGTAGTAGTGCAGTTGTTTTTTTCACCGGAGATTATGCTCTCCCATAATGCATTGATTCTCAATGCATGTGAAATCCAAATTCATTAAAAGATACATGCCTTTACAGCAAATTTCCCTGCCATAAATTTTACATGTGACCATGTCGATAATATTAATATTAATATTAATACAAGCAAAATTTTCATCTTCTTTTTGATGCAGCCAAGTTGGTAAAATAAATGGTGTAATGCAATGCTCATCCGGAATTGGTAATCAACTGCAAACCGCTTCCACTGCAAGTTTCCTTGGTAAACCAGGACACAAATTGGTTTTGAAATTCTCTTCAGATAATGTTATGACACAGTCGTTTTTGTTTAGGCAGGCCTGCAACAACAACGAAGTTTATGGAAATCTATCAGTACTATGATCATTCAAAATAAAAGAACAAACAAACAATTAATGAAACACTGCACGAAACATCTTCCTATAAAAGAAAAAGACAGACAGTTGAGAGTGAAGCTAATTTTTCACTTTAAAAGTCAGAGTAAGAAACAAGGGGTGGCCACCTAGATTAAAGTTGAGTTAAGGATATGATAAATTCAAGTAACAAGTATTTCAATATTTTGAATTTGGTATTCAGGATGTTGCTTTGGTAAGTATGCATAAGGTTCATGGATCAACTTCTCCCCACTAAAACATAGCACATGAAGAGGAATGAAAGATCTTACCAGCCAAGAGTAAGTCATATTAATTGTGATTAGTTCCTTTAGCAATTGTTTATTGAGCTAACAGGATTGTTTGCACAGTTAATCAGAAGCCGATTGCATCAGGGTATCCCTTAATTGTGTAGTTAGTTTTTAAAATGAAAATATTAATAGATACTTTGTAGAGAATAACCCCCCAAATGCAATGCAAAAAATTGCAAAGAGATATACCTTCTCAACAACTGTGCTAGAAATGGGATCATGGCAATCTCCCTTGAGGAAAGATCCACATGCTCCAGAGGGAGTTCCAAAACTAGCAAACTTCACAGCTGATATATGAGTGTTACTGGGGCAGGTCAAACGGGCAAAAGGAATGTTTTTGATATTCTGTACTTTATCTTCACCCTGAGAAAGGAGTCCAACGGAGGGGTAATCCTCAGAAACAAGGGCACACGCACCAGATATTTTGCGTCTCACAAACCTAATCTTATCTGGTTCTCCACCTTTCTCCTCAAAAAGAACAAGGACGTTTCCTGATGGCTTGAACCAGGATCGTGGAACATGATACCTGATGCATAGGAAATACAAAATGTTGCATTAAAACAAGAATAATGGTCCATAACTCTCGAGACCTACCAAAATAAATTTAGTTCTTTACAATTATGATAAATCATGAATGCTTTCTAGTTTCTATTTTAGATGAAATTTTATATTTGCAAATGTAAAAGGAACTACGAAAGAAAGTAAATTGAAAGAATGCACTATGGGTTCTAATTCATTCCAGAAATCGAGTACATATTTATGAACAATTAACCACAGCATACAGAACCTACTAGCTTTCAATTGTATCCCCTTCCTAATAATATGAACAATGCTTGTCAATTATTTTGTATATAAAGAATCTGTTAGGGATCAGTCCACCAGCACAAACTGCATCGATTTGTACACAAAATCTGATTTTAGTATTTTACTTTGCCTATTTCTTCTGGTTAAGAGGGTTGGAACCTGACAACATTTTCAACAACTTCTGTACCAGTTTATGAAAGTAATTTTTTTCTGCATTTGAAAAAACTGAAAAGACTGCATTTCCATTCATCAATTTCATGGAAATCATTATTGTCAATAGTTTTACCATCTCTGTGTTGGTTCTCCACAACCAGTGTCACATTTGTCGGGATTAAATTTGCCTCTGTAATCACATTCCTTCACACAGTCTTCACTCTTGAATTCACTTTTTCTAGGCCAATATCTTCCTATTTCCTCTCCATTTAACCAGGCTAGACCTTTCCCCATGTGTAACATATCCAATCCAATTGGTTCATCTCCAGGTGGAGCATCCACAATAGTCTGCAAGGCCCAGAATTTTAAGAGATTTTTTACCAAGAGACACAAACTAAATGAAAGATGTATTGATAATTTGCATTCATTACCTTGTACCATGTCAATGGCTGCATTTTTGGTGGTTCTGAAGTAGATGTCCAGTTCACATTACTCAACCCATCTCCCTGGTATAGCTTTAGGTGTTCTCCTTGCACTCCAATCTGAGAAAGCATGAAATATAAATTTCCATGGCTAATACCACTATCAATGGTCTATAAAAAATTGAGCAGCATTTCAAAGATGGGTGGGAAAAGGGTGAAAAGGTACCTTGTAAGTCCAAGCATATGAAGACAAGTCTATTGTCCCATTGTTCAGTCCCTTAATCTTTACACTTGTGAGTCCTGCCCCCACAAAGTCATAAAAGGGTCCAGCTGTCTAAACCATAATGAAAAAAGTAGCATGGTGAGAAATTCGTATTTCTTAGGAGTTACAACAATAGCCTAAAACAGAGGATCTCACCTGTAAGCCAACTGTCAAGCACAACAAAGCAATTTCATTTTTCCCTGCTCGGAGGGAGATGGGATTCTTAAAAGTGAATGGCGAATGTGTACCATTTCCAGTACCAGTACCTAAAGGACAAAAGGTTAAAATTACCAAATAACAAGAGATAAAACTCATTTGTTACAGCATGTGTTTATTGGAGTTCATGAATTACCTCATGTACTCATCTGAAGTATCGTAATTCAATAGTTTTCAAATGCTAGTAACAAACAGAATGAATGCATGTAACAAAATTGTTTCTAATGTGACAAGGCAGCTGAATGTTAGTAAAGCAAGTCACAGATATTGAAGTAAGTCTGTTTCTTTTCTTCCTTCCATTATTTTGGAAAGTGAATATTTATCCACTTTATATAAATGTGGAACAAAGGCTTGAATTTCTTATTTACTAAATTAAGATATTTATATATTATTTTGGTTTAATTTTCATATAACAAGTACTGTCATTTCATATGTCAGTATTAAAATGCTAGTTTTAGATTTGCACAATAACTTAATACAAGACACGTTGAATAACAGGAAAGTGAAAATACATTCATGTTAAGGAAACATAAGTCCCATGTATACCAATTGGTGATTTATAAGGCACGGAAGAATCAAATGTCCAAATTATATAGCTCCCCCAAGGTTTAACAATTCAGACTTTGCATCTGTTTCAGAAACAAAATATAATTTCTCATTTTCAATTTAAAAATTCCACTGATGTTAAATCTTAGAATAACAAATTTTATATAGTTCTGAAAATAAAAGAGAAACCCCTCCAATTTCATTTTGCTTCATTGGATGGGTACGTAATTAACTTTAATAAATAACATCTTATTCTTAACACTTTGGAAGGCAAGGAAAATGCAATTTCAAGAGAAGAGAAGGGGAAAAGTTGAATGTGCTGAATTTCATAATGACTCACAAGTCTCACTTGAACACACAATGATAGTTGATTAATAAAATATAAAGTAATAAATTTATTATCTATCAGAAGATAACCTTGATATTCCTGATTCACAAAAGCATGGAGAGCATGACCTGTAGACTCAATAAGAAGAACTGGTTTGCTTCCCTTTTTCAAGAACTCTTCATTTTCACCAACAAATATACTGCCATCAATAGAAAGTTGAGCTTTGATCACATTCAAAACACGCTTTAATAAATTATACAAGTTAATGTATATTACACCATACAAATGAGTTTATAATTGATTATGAAAAGAAGCAACATTGATAATATAGCATAGACTCTAACTAAAATCATTACGACCCTCCTAGACCTTTTGAAGAACACCAATTCATATTTCATAAAATTTATTAGAATCCTAAAGCCTTTAGCACAACGAATGTCCAAGCAGAGAGATATTAAGCATGTTTGTCAAAGTTTACAGTTAACTGGGAAGGAATGGAGCACAAAAATATAACTGTATCCATAATAACATAAAACCATAACAAGTCATTGACATCCAGATTTACTTTTTACTGATAGCAAGTCTGGCAATTAGTAGACTTAAGACAATGGGAAGTCAAAACTTTTTTACTTTAATTGCCGGAGTACCATTACTAATTCTCATTCTAAGTTTTAGTATTTTCCTATAAACCGTTACCTTCCCCTTGCTTTATCCACATCAAAATGTTCATTAATATTTTCTTCATCAAAGATTCAGGTATATACTAGGTAAATAATGTAGAACTCTAAGATCTACATTTTTATAGGGGTTACTTACTAAAGAAATTTAAATAATACTAGTGCAATATTATGCATAGGCATGTGTACCTTTTACCCTTATTCCTTTTAATTGATCGATGCACTTCAAATATTTTTTATCTTAAGACAAACCTTGTGGTATGCCATAGGTAGTCAGTGGTATCTTTGGTAGTATTGATGAGATCAACAAAACCATTTTTGACAAAGTCTGCTGTCCCCCAGATTCCTGGTTTCTCCTTCACAATGTCCCATATCAAAGAATTTACACCTTTATTTGATTGCTGCAAACTTCCGGGAATCATTGCAACTACATTTGTCTGGGAATTAACCTGTAGAAAATTTCATGACTAAAAACAATAACCAAAAGCAGTGTATAAAGAGATCCATGCAATAATAATTTGTCACATTTGTTAATATGATTGGGGTGAACAGAAAAGGTGGGAATTAATTATGATGATAATTTCTATTAAAGAGAAAGTTCTCGTTTTGACAGTGATCTAGGCCATGTAAGTATCAATTTCAGTTTCATGGCAGTTGATTGCATATATCTAAACATCAAAACTTTAACAGCTAACAGTAGGATTGATAAGATTTTGTTTTAGGTGTAAGTCAAATTCTGTTTTTATCATCAACCTGCAAATTTTTCATTAATTTTAGAGGAACTTCCAGACCAGAGTTCCAATGTAATCTTTTGTATCACTAAAATTTATTATAGTAAAGATTACAAATTTAAACTAAGCCCTCAATGATGATTCCATGTAAATACATTATTAAGGAATGATGTCAACCACGTTGGAACAACAATAACTTACCTTCGCTGTGTTGAACACTACATTCTTGCAATCAGGAAGAATGCTAACTGACCAAGCTGGCAAGCTATATGATGTATTCCGAAATTCCACTGTTCTATCATTTTTGTCATCAGAATTAGAAATAAAGGCAGCACATGCTCCGGATGAGTCAGTATAGACATCAGCCTGCAAATGCAATACAATGGTTAGTACAAAATGGCTTATAATAGCAGATGAATGGATTAAGTATAGGGATGGATGCAAAGGTGGACCCCACAATTGTTAAAGCTTGATTGATTTGGTGTTACAGAAGCACAATGTCATGTCAAGGACCAATTCTACAGGTTTAATTATTAAGTGGAGGCTCAGGAATAGTTGTCTCTCCAACAACTGACAATATTACAAAGCTAAAATTTACTTCCTTGAACTAAACTGCAGACTGTCCAGTCATGAAAATTCTGCAACATCCCTTACCAATAACATTGGACAAAGATAATGCAACATGTGTCCACTAGAACTATTTTGTCAAGTCTAGCTTATAATCATTATAGTTGTAAACGAGGAAATTACCAATTCAAGAAATTATCATACCTTACCGTAGAAAGTTCTGTTAGTATGCAAAATGATAAAGAAAAACTTGTTTATGTCAAATGGCATGGTTGACTAATAACACAAAATAATGTACTGCTCTATCTCTCCATAGTGGGATGGATATAATACCACATAAGTGGATTTATATCTAATTTAGTTTTACAAAACTAACTTGTAAAATGAGGTTTGCGGTCCACTTATATATATTACAATTGACCTTATTTTTAGTCAATATGAATCTCCAACAGAGTTCATAGCTAAATAAGAGACAATATATTTGTACTAGCCCTTAATGTTTGACAGAAGGAAGATACCTCCACAAAAGGACCAAGGGAGACATTAACCGGTTTCCCATTAAGCAGTACATGCTCGCATAACTTGATAGCTCTATGAAGTTCCTTAAGATGTCCCCATTTTGGAAATCTTGGTAGCCCTGTCATTATATTATAAATTTATTAAGCAGTGAACTTTAGCATTGATTGTAAGAAGTAGGGACATTTTTCAATATAAGGTAAAGAGACCTGAGCATAAATCAATTTCAACGTTAGAAAAACTTGAGTTAGATGTCTTACCATACTCATCTATCGGGGCATCATAGTCATAACTTGTAGTAATGAATGGACCACCAGCTGTTCGCCCAAAATTTGTTCCTCCATGATACTAATCAACAGGGAAAATAGAAAGAGATCAACAAGAGGAAAATAAATTAAGAGATAGCATATCATTCAGATAAAGTCCTTTAATATTATTTCATCCTTTAATATTATTTCATACAGGCCGAACAGTCTAATTTAGAAGAGAAAAAAAAAAACTGTACCATGTAGTAATTGTGTACACTTCCACCTTTTTGGAAGAAACGAGCAACAGAAAATGCAACATCTTCTGCTGGCCTGTGAGGATCTCTTCCCCCAAAAGTCTTAAACCTTTAAACAATAAAAAATCCCAGGACAGAAGAGCACTAAATGAGAGATACATTCCTTATTGCAAGATCAAAATCAAATATCAACTATTGCACAGTTTTAACTCCTCTATCCTGGGAAAATAGAAGGACAAAGAAAAGCATCCTTAGTTAAAGTTCTAAATAAATTGAAAAGGCTAGATTTTCGAAAGTTTCATACTTTTATTATTTTCCTAGGTCTGAGTCTAGCAGATGCATTTAGGTTATCTTCTAGACTATTGCACAACTTTTAAAATCCATGAACTATAGTTTCTCCACTTTGGCAATTTCTAAAACTAGTTTAAAATGGTATTAAGTGGAAGTATGGAACCAGTAACACAAGTCTTATGGAGTCAAACCAGTTCAAAACTGGGTTCAGGTTGGTCCAAAACTAGTCCTAATATTGAATTTCTATATCAAATGCATGGTTGGCTGTATTGCAAAATTCATAATATAATATGTACGATTTGAGCAGTTGCAATTGGTGAGAAAATAGATACGGTGCTTGAATCGCACCATGTACAAGTCATCCTTTAAGTATAACTTATCCAATGATCATTTATGTTTAACTAGAGAGAGAGATTGAAAGAAAATGTGTTTGACTTTTGAGAAATAGTTTTATATCAAATTTAGCTCAGGTGAGAATTGGTTTCTTAAAGTTTAGTAGATCCCAAATATCAACATATATAACCCAGCTCCAATCTACCTAAATATCTGTTTTTTGAAAATTGCCAAACACCTCCAAAACCTTTCCGAGTGAAAAAGTTCAGTTTTACTTGATACATAATTGTCAATGGAAAATGGATAAAAAAACATTCCTGAATTATGCCCAACAAATAAGATGTCTATTTGTAAACATTCACCACAAAGCATTTCCATGACGTACATAATCATATGTATAAAATGGACTCTGTGAAGAAAAATATGAATGATGGACTGCAGGGAAGGTTTAAAGTGATCAAGCATACCATCCAGGCCAGTTCTCAGTCCAAATTTTGGGCCTATTTGGAGAAGTGGGTTTAAATTGGTCACAGTAGAATGAATTGCATGTATCAATCTGAAAAAGAATCATGAATTGGTTATCATCTAAATGTGACCAGCAACACAGATATTTAAAACAAGAAGAATAAAATTATAAATATAAACAGCAAAAATTAAGAATTTTTAAGCACAGCATAATGTATATTTATGACATTTCCTACTTATGATCGCAAGTTTTCACTATCTTCTCATAACAAGAACTACAAATCTAAATTTATTTTGAGTTTGTATTGTAGTAACGTCTCTAAGAGAGTATAATCTTACCACAGGATCTGGAGCATCCCATTGTTGGCACATTATCCAAGGAACACCTGTATTTTGAGACACAGCCATCTTTGCAGCCCACAAGGCATATTTCTTACCATCCTCTTTATAAAAATTTTCATAGTATCCATATTCATTTTCTATCTGCAAAGTTGTGAAGATGCTAAATGGAGTCATTGGATACGATATGTTCAGAGGACAAAAGTAGACTAGCAAATTGATGGAACGCTACCAAAAATAGCAGTTCATATGCAAATCCATAATGACCATCCTAAGAATACAAACAGAGGCACTGCAAATAAATTGCAATGTTTGAGGTTATACTTGCCTGAGCTAAGATTATGGGACCCCCTTGTGAAGCAAAAAGCTTCTCTTGCTTCATAAGGTTTACTATGTATGTTGTAAACTTCTGCATATGATACTGAACCCCAAGAAAGGGACAACAAAGTTAGACAATCAAAGTAATTTTACTACAAATAAATACATAAAGATGGCATGTATACGATGGTATGAGTTACAATTATAATTCAAAGCACAGAGACATACCATGAAAGGCTGATTATAAGTCCGGAATACCGTGCCTGGAACATAATGTAGCCACACCGGCACACCACTGTAACATACAGCTATGGTTAAGAAGTATGAAATTGCAATCCACTTCGTAAAACTGGTTAATAATATTATTTAATTTCTCCACCATAAGACACTGTAACTTGAAGCAATCGTTTACAACCGAAAAGATTAGCAAAAAAAAATATTACTCACCCAAAATTCCATTCTGCAGCAACAAATGGGCCTATTCGAAGAATCAAGAACATCCCAGCCTGCTGAACAGTCTTCGCAAACTTGACCAGATCAAACCTTCCTCCAAAGTAATACTACATGAAGTTCACAATTTCAAGTAAGAGTGGGGAACTCTTAAAAAATTTTACATCACACTATAACCTCTAAGAATATCTATTGTCTTCCGACTAATTAACTTATGCACTTCAACTTTTGAAGAGGTTAAATAAATAAACTTCTACAAAAGCTATGAACATAAGTTGATTTTAACTTATAGAAGAACCTCAATCTACTTTAACTTGTTGATTTCCCCAAATAAATGCTTACCAACAAGTTTAACCAAAGATAAACTATGCAGTGCATTATAAATGACTTCATACTACTCACATTGCCAGGAGAAAGCTCATGGCCGTTCCAGAAAACATAGGTTTCAATCACATCTACCCCTCCTTCCTTCGCTGTTTGAACAAGACCAGGCCACATCGCAGGAACGCTTCGAGGGTAATGAATGGAAGCAGAGATAAGAAGCTTGCGTTGGCCATCGATGATGAGGGAGCGACCATCGTAGCTGACATTGCCACATGAAACCAGTGTCACTGTGACCAGCAGCACCGCCACAAGTAAACACAATTTCATTTTTCTCACACTGTGATCTTCAGTGTGTCTTGGGGTTTTAATAATTGTTCAGATTAAGTGTGAGACAGAACATGTGTTAATTTTTCAGATTCGTAGTCACCAATACGTGATTTGTTTTTATTAAGGTCCCAAACACGATAACCGATTCAGACACAGACACACGTAGTGCCAGCTAGTCAACAACTAAAGTACAATAATGTTAAATCTCTTATTCTTCAACTCTGCAAACTTTTACTAAAATCGAACAACACTTTCCATAACCAAGTAAACAAAGGGTGCATTTATTTTGTTACACTTATCTAGTTTTGAGTTAATTAAAATGACTCATATTTGTATATTTACTTCCTCTGCTATAATTATTGTTCTGAAAATCAGCCGTGCTTTCAAACTATAAGATTAATCATAATTATATCTCTTAATAGACTTAATATTGACCTTATGTGATGTGGAAGGAAAATAAACTTAAATAAAAGAGGATATACAATTTATAAGCAAGTAGATTTTAACTTTAATATTCTTTTAGAGAGAAAACAAAATTGAACTAATATTATTTTAGGGTTAAATATGTTTTTAGTCCTTAAACTATCAAGCGATTTTGTTTTTAGTTTCTCTTTCAAACTAAGCTACATTTTGATCATTCTTCTTAAAGAAACCATAATTTTTCGTCCTCCAAAACCAACGCGTTAAGAAAAAGCCGAGCTAGCTAACGGTGGAGTGCCACATCATTTTTTTCTGAGTCAATCTCCCTCCCTCACTGGTGTCGTCTCAACTCTTTCGCGGTCTCCGATCAGTTCCTCCTCTCTAACCTGGCCATCCACGACGAGACCCGCCTCAACTGCCCCTTGCGGTCACTGTCAACAATTCTTCCAGGAACTCCGCGACACCCCCGATATCTAATTCCTGATCACCTCCCACACCAACCCTCACTTCACCCCTCTCCCTCGTCCTCTCCCACCGCTTCGCCTCTCACGATCTTCTCTGCATTTCCTTTACCCTAGAGCGACCCTAAATCGGCGTATTCTCATTTTGCTCGATGACTTCGCCATCAAATCCTCACACCCTCTCTTCTTCAACTCCCTCAAATCTCGAGGCTTCGATCTCCATTTCCACCTTGTCGATGACCCCCAATATCAGATTTTGTTGATTCAGGTCATGATTTGATTGTTGCTGCTGATAGCAATGCTTCTAATTTAATAAGGGAAATCACCACCGAGTGTGGAGTGGACTTCGATGAAAAATGCGATGCGTTTTCTGAGTTTCTGGGTTTGATTTGGGGTTTTTTGGGCTGTTGCGTTTTTTGGGTTTTGTCTTGCAGGTCAGGAAGAGAAAGTCGAGAGGAGCTTCGACGTTTGGATGTTCAACGGTGTTGCTTCCAGCGTAGGAAAAAGTTTCATGATGCAGGTGTCCTAGAGGATTGTGGGTTTTGCGATTTTGATGGTTATGTTGTGGAGGCTCGCGATGGCGGTGAATGGTTGCTCATAGTGGTGGTCCGATGCGAGCTTACAAAGGATGAGGAGGTTTTGATGGCAGCCTCGCGATGATGAAGGGAGAGTGGTGGTAGAGAGATTGAACTCGTAATGGCACTACTCGCGTTGGGTGGTGGCGCGATGAGGTTGCTCGTGTTTGGGTGTTGATGATGGAGGTGCGTGATGGAGGATGGCGGTGACTAGGGTTTCTGTGGTGGCGGTTTCACGGCGGCATGGTGGCTGGCCGGCACGACATTGTGTTGGCACTATGGCATTGACGGCGGGAAAGATTGACGTCGCAAAAAACCTAGGAAGATTTGTTTAGTGTCAAAGAAAGAAAATGGCGTGGCACTTCACCGTTAGCCAACTTAGCTTCTTTTTAACGCCGTTAGTTTTGGAGGACAAAAAATTAAGGTTTCGTAGAGGAGATGACTAAAATGTACTTTACTTTGAAAGAGGGACTAAAAACAATTTCGCTTGATAGATTAAGGACTAAAAATATATTTAACTCATTATTTTAATTTTTTTAAAATAAAAAGTGAAATGTTTATCCGTTATTTCTATTTTAAATTTAAACTTGTCATTAATAAATGACATCATTTTGTATTCTAAAACTTGTGTATTCTATTTAATTATTTGTGTATATTTTGAATGTTAAACGTTTATAAAAATGTGTTATTTTTAGTTTAGTTTTTTATTAAATTATAGGTTTAATAATTTGTTCCCTACTTTTAGGGGTTTCGTTCAAAGTAATCCTACTTTTTTAAAAAAGTTAAGTAAAACCCCATATTTCAATAAAAAATGTTCAATGTCGTCATTTCCGCTCAAGCCGTTAAAAACATAACGGTGCAAATGCCACGTCATCATCACCATCTCCAGACAAACTCTAATTCCTCTCCAAGAAACCCTATCCACCGCACCATCCAGTGCGTTACCGCCATCCTCGCCGGCAGCCGTCCTCTCCAACACATCACGCGCCACAACCAAAGCATCTTCTCCCTTCTATTACACCTCCATCACCTTCGCATCTCACCTTCATTCTCGCGCCACCACCCAACGCGATCCCTTGCTATGCCGCGACCACCAATCTTCACCATTTTCGCCCTCGCACCAACCAAATTTTCGTTGCGCCAGCAGCACTGTCGTCCAATCTCCACCACAGAATCGTCCACCACTAACCACCAGCCAAATCGCCAACTGTTGCAGATCGCGAATCGCCACTCTTCTCCACAACTAATCACGCCGCTGCTTGCCTCCACCTACAACCACAATCAGACCTACAAGCAAACCGTGGAGACCTAGGGTTTCTTGCGTTCTCGTCGCATAGCTTTGGTGGTGGCGTGTGATGCGTTGGAGAGGACGGCTGACGACGAGGATGACGGTGACGACGCTGAATGGTGCGGCTGCTAGGGTTTCTTGGAGAGAAATTAGAGTTTGTCTGGAGATGGTGGCAGAGACTTTTTTTATAAATTAAAAAATTATTTAAGTCCACCTATCAATGAGGCGGTTTATATTGGCATTTTTTAATATAAATATGGGATATTAGTGAACTTTTTAAAAAATATGATTATTTTGAACCAAACTCCTAAAAATAGGGAATAAAATGAATGATGTATTAAACCTAAATTATAAGAATAATCAGTGTTATGTTTACATATTATATAATGTTATAATTATTATTTTATCCGTCCGAATTCAAAAATCGCCATGGTCTTAGTTGCGTACGTTAACTGGTGATTGAGTTCCTAACTCATGATTTTGAGTGTCATAATTATACATCAGTAAGGAAAACTTCGGAGTTTTGTCACAAAATACGCACTCACCGACATTTTTTTATTTATTTTTTTGTTTTTGAACATAAAAAAGAAAAGACGGTGCACGAGTGTCGTGGATAGCTAGATACCGATATCGTATATCAGGTATGAAAATCTAGGTGCGTTATAAATTTCAACTAATAAAACAGAATAAACTAAAAAGTGTGCGATAAAAAAATTGTTTCTAATCTTCTTTTTATAAAAATAAATAACAAAAAGTTTCTGAACTGCCAAAATATACTTTTTAAAATACATTTTTCTATTCACGATATTCAACCTATATTTTAGGCGCATCTATTATTTCCCTTTATGGTTGAAAAAGAAATTATAAAATAAAATATATTAACCAATAATTTTGAGTTTTAAAATTATATTTCTTATAGTGAAAAAATGTTAAAAAAATACCTTAATTAACAATTTTGAATATTGAGATAAGTAGAGATTAAAGAATAATAATAAATTATGAGCAAATTGAATTTATTATTTTTTATTATCTTTATAAAGATATTTCAATACTTTTAAACTATTTTGTTATTTAACAAGGAACAAATCATTATTTTAGAGGAAAAATAACCCAATTCAAACTAAAAAGTTATAAAAACTTCAAGAATCTAAAGAAAAGAAAATGATATTGAATTAAATTTGAGTGTTTCAAAATCAAAGAACAAGATCAGTCACTACAAGATAAACTATCTATATCTAGAAAAGGAGAGAAAAAAAGAGAAGTACAAATTATCATTTCAAAAGAGAATATGCTAATGTTGTTATAACATTTGATAGTTATGAGTTTGTTATAGTTTTAATGGTGTTAATGTTAAATACGATGAGTCATTGACTTAAGTTGCACCTTCCACACGAGAGTTCTTTGACACTAGAACTTAAAGAATGAGTTATAGTTTTTCTTAAAATGTGGTGAGTAAGATTGGATATGTTTGATGATATGATCTTGATAGGGTCAATGTAATTTTTGAGTTTTCATTATAACTTTTATTATATTTTTAATTAAGAGGTTCATTGGTCACATAGAAAGATTAAAAAAAACAAGTGAATTATTCATGTTCTCATGAGAATTAAAAGCAACACTATAAGTTAATTATCAATGTATATTAAAAGTCACTTAAATAGGAATTAATGTAGAATGTATAGGATTTTTGCTAATTCATCCCATAAAATGATACACTTGTAATGTAATGGGAGACACATGAATTTTTATACAAAATTGACTTTTCTCTTTTTGTAATGTAATGGGGAGACATATGAATTTTTATACAAAATTGACTTTTCTCTTTGTGAGAACTTTTTAGAGTTTTGTTTAAGAACATAAATTTGATCTTATCATGGTAACATGAAACAACCAACCTTATGACTTATTACTTACATTCTCATCTTTCTTAGTATGACATTAATATCATCTCCCAAACTAAATATTAGAACAATTTCCTTGTTTTCCCATCATTTGATAATCAATAGATGTTGCAAGATGTGAGGTACGTTTCAAAGCTAAAAATAGATCTTTTGTCGATTAATATGTTTGATCTAAGGGTTTGACAACCAATAATGAACAAAGATCTATACAAAGATTTTCAAGGGAGCATCTACCGTTGCTAAAGGGATGAAGAATAACGATCTTTGCATAATGGGTGGTTCAACACTAATCATGTATGTGCATGATACTACTAAGATAATGCAAGATTAGATGAAGTTGTGGCATCTAAGGTTGGGACTCATAAGAGAAAGGTTTAGGGTGAGGGAGTTGAGTCAAAAACTTGT